GAATGTCTAGAGGACTAACTTGAAACGTATCAACTTTGTTGTATAGTCTAATTCCCTTTCCTTTACAAAAATCATCAAACACTTTGTTGCAGTACTCCAAGCCATTATCTGTCCTTAGAGCTTTAAGTGTTTTCCCACTTTGATTTTCAACCAAGGCTAACCATTCTACAAACTTAGAGAAAGCCTCATCCTTCGTCTTCAAGAAATACACCCATACTTTCCTCGAGTAATCATCCACAAATGAAATATAATACTGACACCTTGATAGACTCGGAGTAACATTAGGTGATCCCCATAAATCAGAGTGAACGTAAGCTAACGGTTCATCTGAGTTATGTTTTCCTTTCTTGAACGACAGCTTGTGAAACTTGCCAAGAATGCAGTACTCACACTCTTGTTTATCTTTAATATCTTCAGATCTCAGAAATCCAGACTTCACCAGACTTTGCATTCCTCTAAGACTCATATGTCCTAGTCGGCTATGCCATAAAGACGTTAAGTCTAACTCCCCAGAGACAGTATTGGCTTCCTCCTTTATTGGTGAACCATCAAGAAAATATAAGGTATCTTTATAATCAGCTGCTATAACCTCCTCATCATTCTTGAATACCTTCAGACGAAAGTCTTTAGATTGAAACCAACATCCCAGAGTTTCAAGTTGACCTAGAGATATTAAATTCCTTCTTGCAGTAGCAGAATATCTTACTCCAGTCAGAATAACCGTAGACTTATTGTGATTCTCAACCTTAATCTTCCCAATAGCTGTGACTTCTCAGTAAGTATCATTCCCCATTAGGACCTTTCCTCCATTTATCTCTTCAACATCGAACATAAGATCCTTTCGGTAAGTCATGTGATACGAACATCCTGAGTCAACAACCCAGCCTTCCCGGTTAGCTAAACTAGAAGCAGTAAGCATCATAGGTTCATCATCCTGAGCTTTCACAATACTTGCTTCTGCTTTGAATGAACCATTTTGATTGTTCCTCTTAGGACAATCCTTTTTGAAATGCCCTTCAGCTCCACATATCCAACACGTCCTTTTAAACTTAGTTTTCGACTTGCTTCTGTGACTTGACTTTCCTTTTGACGTGTTGTTGTTTCTCTTTTCAGAACGACCTCTTGACTGAAGATACAGCCCTTCGTTACTAGTGCCAGAGGAGCCTTGACCACCTTTAGCCTTCATGTCAAGCTCAATAGAGTAAGCTGCACTCGTAATCTCCTTTAACGAGATTGTATCTTGATCTCTTCCATATTTGAGCGTATGCACTAACGGTTCAAACCTTCTAGGCAAGCTATTCAAGAGTATCACGGCTTGATCCTCTTCACTCAAATCAACATCGAGACTTGCAAGATCAGATACCAGCTTTGTAAATGCATCCAGGTTCTTGTCCAGGTTTTTATCTTCATCCATCTTATAACTGTAAAACCTTTGCTTTAGGTAGAATCTGTTAGGCAGGGACTTGATTTGATAAGTAGCTTCTAGAGCTGTCCACATCTCGAGTGCCGTCTTAGACTTAATGACTTTTCTTAGCACCATGTCACTAAGGCTTAGACTTATCAAGTTCCTTACCCTTCTATCCATCACCAGCCACTTAGAGTCTGTGGTCTTTAGATCAGCATCTTCTTCTGCTATCCCTTTGCCTTTAACGTCTGCCTCCTCAGGTTGTAACACTGAGTCCAACCCAAGTATCTCCAACTGAGCCAAGATCTTATGTTTCCATAAAGCAAAATCCCCTTCACCATCAAACTTCTCCACCTCGAACCTTGCCTTCGTAGGTTCCATGACGAATACTCCCAAGCTTGATCAGAACCTGTAGAATACCAGACGTAGAACACAACCACAGCAACACAGTCGACAGAGAAGAAATCCCGAAAACCACAGAACCAGATAACCAATAGAAAACCAGAAAATCCAGAGAAAACCACATAAATATTCAGATCTATTACTGGTGACCCTAACCTGAAGAATACGATTAGTAAGAGATTCCTTAAACTGAATCGATTTACAGGTTAGACACGATCACCTCAGATCTGAACCTCCCTGAGCCGAAACCGTGCTCTGATACCACTTGTAGTGGTTTAACCTTGTGAACCAAGTTATCTAAGTCATCTTTTAGGTTTATGTTGATGATGTTCGTTGTTTGTTGTTTTGCAGATATGAAAATGACACAGAGAAATAGAGTTCCCAAGGGGTATTAACGAACACCCTTGGTACGTCTCTGGAGAAAGGAAACTGATTACAAGCTATGGAAACACTCACCAAGCTCACACCTCTCACCGGAATCTCACGTCACTCACCGGAATACAAGATCAGAGTATTCACCCAGAACAAGATGATCACACACCCAATTCCTCATGTGTTTACTCTCACCCTCTCAATCCCTTTGACGTAAAGCTTATTTCTCCAAGTTAGATTCCTTTGTTCCCTTTCTCCTCTTATACTCTTGATGATTCCTTCTGATCCATACATCAACTTGTATGCCAGCTCACCATTGGTGTAACGGAAACGCACATGACAAGATTCCTTTCCGTTGAGCCACCAAAAGCTGCACTTGATCAAAACGCAGAGTATAAGTCTTCTGGGCTTCACTTCCTGACTTCAGCTTCTCTTGGGCTTCGCAACAATACGCTGAGCCCATACTGTAATCACTTTAGCCCATAACCCGGAATTGGTCAAACACCTGTGACAGGGAACATAAAGCAAACAAAACACAAAATCATTGTGTTTTAGCTATTAACTGCGTTGTTAATACAGAAGTTTAACAGTCATGTATTATGCACGTATAGATAAGTTTCTTATATGACTGTCAAAGTTATGTCTTTCTCTCAATATTGATTCACTATATGAAAAATGTTAAGACAAAGAGAGCACGTTCGTCTCTTTATTTCAAATTGAACGTTTCTTCTAAGGGTGTCGGCATCTATTAGTAGAGCTATCATCTCTTTCTCCATGAGACTTGAGTCCCAAGGCAGGAACATAGCTGAAGTGAAACAAAGCCCTAGAGAGTCACTATGTACAAGTAACATCAGTCATTTATTCCACACATGCACACAAACATTAACACCATTGATCATTCATCCATTTAGTGGACTATAGATAGAGAATGCTTATCAGTCGAAATCAACTTGACATGTATTTGATGCTCTTGGTGAGAATGCTAACTTCCTAATCATCTCAAGTTGCTCTTCATGATCATCTGTCTCGGTTAGTATTTTCACCATTTTCAGATAACAAGAATTCCTCAAGATATAAGTCACAAGATCACTCTCATCTTTGGTTCCTTTGTAACGTCTCCACTCAAAATACTCAAGACTCGTTAACAGACAATCCGGTACAGAGCTAGGTTCGTTCCAACACCCGCCTTTGCTACAATCCTTATGTGTCTGAAAAAAAAAAATCATTTTGGTATTAGAACTTGAATAAAGAAAAGAAAAACATGAGAGGTAATAAGTTAACAGAAACGTATTTACCCGTTTAAGCTTGAGAACTCGTAGTTTAGGAGTTTCTGTGAGCAGAAACATTAGTAGATTCCACCACTCTGCTTCACAAGTACACATCTCTAGATGAACAAGTTGTTGAAAGGTAGTAGTAGTAGTACCAATAGGACATGGAGCCTGCGTAAACCACAGTTAAAACCATCTTCTCTTTGTCTGGTTAAAGATAAAAAGAAAAGATAGAATGTATTAAAGAGACAAGAGTAGATTACATTTGAACATATCGAAAGACGCTTGACAGAAGTGAGAGATCCAAGAAGCTCATCAAGTTTTTCATAACCAACTTCAACATTAGCTTCCACAAGCTGAGGCATATTTTCAGCAAAACAAAAGGAGCCACGATAATCTCTAATGTTCAAGTACTTCAAACAAGGAGCATTAATCACAAACCCTAGACAGTTTTTTCGATAGTATTTCGATGGTCTATTCAGAGATAAACTCTGTAGTGAAGGAACGTTGATAGTGAAAATGAAAACATTGTCGTTAGGACAACACTCCACCACCAAATCTTGGAGACTAGAGCAGCTTGATAAAATGGTTTCAAGAGACTTCTCATCTGAGTACTTCACTGACAAAAGGTGTAAGATATTGAGAGATTGGAAACAAACCAAGGAAGAAAAACCGACAAGACTTGCGTTTTTAAGCTTTAGGACACGGAGTGTTTGGCAAGCATAAAAACTCCTAGGTAGTCTGATAGGATCTTCTTTGGTTGTATAGTCAAGTTTTAGCTCAAGAACACCGTGATCAACCGCGGTTCTAATCCATACCCGAATGTCTAGAGGACTAACTTGAAACGTATCAACTTTTAAAGAAAAGGTTTCAAGAACTGGAGCTTTATGCAATAGCAAAGACCTGTTAACGAACTCTGAGTCACTTCTACATTCAAGATGGAACTCAAGTTTAGGAACCAGCGTCCAAAGAGTCTCCCATCGTTTTGAGAGAAGACTCGTGGCAACACGTTCTTTGATCTTAGCCAAAGAGAGTATCTTCAAGAGCAAAGCATCAGGTAACTCGCTGATCATATCCATCTGTAAAGTCAGCAAAACAAAAAAAAAGAGTCAAACTCTGCATTAGTTTGCTTGAAAGAACTAGTAGATGAGAATAGCAACTGAAATTAACAACAAGTGTATGAATGTTTTACAGAACAAACAATTAACCACAGAACTGGACAATAAATTAAACAAAATCTTAAACTCACATGATACCTAAACTTGAATCCATTCTTAACAAATTTGCATATGTGGTTTAAAGATTTACAGAACTAGAGGAAGAAATAGAACCAAACTTAGCTCACATGATCTTAGTTGAATCCGATCTTGATAAATATGCAGATCTGATATAATGAATCTCGATATTGATGAGACATTTGTTATAGGTAGACTTTATGTTAGTCTTTTAATATCATTATTTATATATTTAATTAATAAAGAAAGGGAATGCTTTGGAAGTGGAGTTTGATCATGAAGATATGGTGAAGAAGATCTTGGTCAGTTAAATGCTCTAAACAGTACTAAGTTTCTCTTACAAGGGCAATGATAATTGTCATTTAACATGTGCTTTTTGTTCTTTATTAACACAAGCACCGAATGAGGATAAAACTAAGATGCAGATTAAAAGCATTCAGAGGTTCTAACATTCAGATACATGAAGGCAACAACAATCCAAACGATGTTAAATAAACACATACTAAACAAAGGTTTCTCAAGACAGCCTCTCAAGTTCATTTCTTTCTTTCTATATTTCAGTCGAATAAGAGCTTGCATGAACTAGAACCGCGTGGAGCAGATGACAACTCCTTGAGCATCTCATGTTTCTCTAGCAGACTACTGCTTGGCTTGGGAGAGATTATCGCTTTCTTCAACCGAGTAGCGTGTTTCAAGATGAATTTCGCCACTTCCTTCTGCCTTTGTGATCCTTCGTATAGTTCCCACTTAAAAGTCTCAAGAGACAACCCCTTGCTAAGAGACGCAGGTTGCTTCCAGCTACCCCCGGGACTAGATGTACGTCGTATATGTTTCTGATATAAAAAAAGAGATAACTAATAAACAACTCCAATGCTCTCTACACAATCAAAAACTGAAACTGTGTTTCGTGTTATCATATGTTACCTGGCGGAGTTTAAGAACACGTAGTTTAGGTGAATCCTCAATCACTCGGGTGAGCAAATCCCACCACCGTGGCGCACAAATGCATAGCTCTAGATGAACAAGCTGAGAGAAGACAGTACCGGAAGGATAAGCAGCCTGCATCAAATACAATAAATCAAACCAATTAGAAAGAAACCAAGTTTTTTTTTTTTGTTGTGTTAAGGTAAAACAGAAAAAGAGAGATGCTTACATCTGAAGTCATCAGACACAAAGCAAGACGCTTAACCGAGGTAAGAGATCCCAGAATCCTCTCAGTGTTTTTATAAATAACATCAACATTAGCCTCAACAACCTCAGGCATATTCTCAATATAACAAAACCCACCCCAATAATCTTCAATATCAAGCCGCTTCAGCTTAGGAGCCGTTATCAAGAACCCATCATCATCTCCTTCAAAAGCTTGCGACGATTTATGCAAAGTGAGAGTCTTCAAGGACATGGCATTAACAGAAACGATCTTAACATTGTCACCAGGACATCTCTGCACAACCAAATCTTCGAGAACAGAGCACGAAGACAAAAGAAAAGGAAGTGACTGGTCATCAAAGTACTTCACATCAAGAAGATGCAAAGTCTTGAGTGACTTAAAGCAAACATAAGAAGAAGCATCAACAAGGCTCATATTCTCGAGTTTCAAAACCACAAGCGTTGCGCAAGTAAACAAACACTTAGGCAATCTAATAGGCTCTACAGCAGGACAGTAACTGATATCCAGCTCACGCACGCCGCGTTCTACAGCAATCCTAACCCAAACTCCAACATCTACATCAGCGTTATGACATATGGAACCAATCTTGACACGCAAAGACTCTAAGATTGGAGCCTTGTGTAGCAGCAAAGACCTGTCTACAAACTTTGTGAACTTGTGACATGTATTGTCGTGAAGCCTGAGGTCGAAGCTGAGCTTAGGGACTAATGTCCAAAGAAACCGCCATCGTTTAGACAAGAGACTCATCGCCACGACATCTTTTGTCGGAAGACGTGAGAGTATCTGTAACAGGAAGTCATCTGGTAAACGACTGATCCTGTCTCTGTAAGCATCCATTTTTTTTTAGAATTACCTGAAAAAGAAAACAAAAATGGGTTATCTTTAGTTTACATCAAGAGGAGCTTAAAGGAGACAACTTTATTATCACAAACATAAGAAGAAGAAACCTTTTCAAAGATTCAACCTTTTTGACAATTTTGGAAACAAATAAAGGTGCGATTTTTTTACTAATTGGGTTTTAGACAGAGAATCACTAGGGACATGATTCGTTTGTAACAATTACACAATTAAACCTAGAGGAGATTTGGAAACTAGACACGGCAACGAGAACGTTTCGAGGAGAGATTTTGATTCGAAACCCCCACATGGATGCGAAGAAAACTTACGGTTTACAGAAAGATTGTTGCTTCAGTGAATGAATGTCTTTTCTTTTATCTCTCTTCTCTCTCTCTCTTTGCTTTTCTATCTCTGTGTCGGATTTTTCCTAACTTTGAGAAGGTTGTACGATAAAAGTTAAAAGAAGCAATAATGACAGGCCGGTTTTTGTGGTTCGGTTCAGTGACAGGCCGGTTTGATTTTGGATTTTATTTTTGGAGCGAGAAACAAACCAAATTATTTTCATATAGTACCAATAAAATATTAACTTCCATTTCTTAAATGAGAAAATGACTAAAATAGATCTAAAAAGTTTTTATCACAAATATAGATTTTCACAATTTTTTTTCTAACATCATATTTTATTAATTTTGTAACCAAGTCATAAGGTCCATATGCATGTCATTAGTAATGATCAGAGGAACATAAAAATGGAAATAAAACATAGAGTTATTCGGAACTGATGTCCTTGCCAGGCAGTCTGCAACTTTATTTCCCATTCTAGAGATCCATTTGAACTGAACCGCTTCAAACTTCCCTTGCCATTTGATCACTTCACGAACCCAATTGTAGGTATCAAAATGAAGACATTTTCTATTAATCATATCCATTGCCTTTTGACAGTCTCCTTCAAAAATGATTCTTTTATAACCTCTGCTCCAACACCATTGCATTGCCATTACCATAGCTTGTAGTTCACTTTCCAACGGACTCTTTACTTTTTTTCCAATGACTTGAACTGCACCTTTGTAGAGGCCTTGAGTATCCCGCACAATCCAACCTGCTCTACTTGGCGTGTCTGAATGTAAGAAAGATCCATCTACGTTACACTTGATCCATCCTTCTGGTGGCCGTTTCCATCTTGTTTCAACCTGCTCCCTAGTTCTTCCATGTTGATTATGTCGATTTTTATCTTGCTCCACTGTGTTGTCTGCCCATTCTTTTGCATCAGTCCTTGCTAATCTTAAGATTCTCCCCCACGGAATCTCTAGGTTTTGAAATAATAAGACATTTCTACTCTTCCACAGTCTCCATAGAATCCAAAACGGGAGATCCTGAAAATGTTGCAGTAGACTTGACGTACCACATTGCAGACATGCATTAATCTTCTCTTCTAGCGTTGTTGAAGGATTATTAATTACCATGTTTGAAACACCTGAAGCCCTCCATACTTTTTGAGCATAAACACAATCAAACAGAATGTGTTGTTCTGTTTCTATAGCTTGACAACATCTAGGACAATGAGAGTTGTTTATGATGTGTCTTCTTCTAAGGTTTTCCCGCGTTGGCAAACTCTTAGAAAGGGTTCTCCAAATAAAGTGTTGGATTTTAGGAGCAGTCTTTGTTTTCCAAATTTTCCTTTTGAGGTTTACATCTCCTGGTGTGGGTATCACTGCAGGGTTGTGTGGAAGGTGAGTGCTTAACCAGTAACCCGATTTAACAGAGTAGAGCCCATCTTCATTGTAATGCCATCCTAACAGATCTAGTCTAGCTGTTGAACATATCTTTATAGCAAGAACTTTATCAACATCATCAGCATGAATGTTCTCTCTAACTTTTCTTTCATCCCAAGCGTTACGATCTGTTGTGAACAGTTCACTAACCCAACAAACATTATTCTCCTCTTGTCGAGGTCTCGGTGCTCTTGGAGGATGATCTGAGATCCAGGGATCTTGCCAAATATGCACTTGTTCACCATTGCCAATAACAAACCTCATTCCACTCTTTAATAAATCTCTACCATAGAGAATAGACTTCCATGCATATGATGATTTCTTCTTTATCTTTGCAGTGAGAATGTTTTCACTTGGAAAATACCTTGCTTTAAGAACACGTGACATCAAACATTCTGGTTGTTGCAAAATCCTCCATGCTTGCTTAGCAAGTAATGCTTGATTAAAGTGTTCTAAATCTCTAAATCCAAGCCCACCTTCTTTCTTTGGTAGACACATTCGATCCCATGAATACCAATGCAGCCCTTTTTTATCTCCTGTACCCCACCAGAACTTTGCAAGAACACCATTTATCTCCTCACAAATCTCCTTTGTTAATCTGAAAATGTTCATCGAAAAAATAGGCATGGCAAGAGCCACTGCTTTCAGTAGAACCTCCTTTCCTCCTGGAGATAAAAATCTATGTTTCCATCCTTGAGTAACTGCTTTAACCTTATCTACTATGTAGTTGAACATCTCAGATTTCTTTGTGCCAAACTGCTCAGGTAATCCCAAGTACTTACCAAGACCACCATCATTATTTATGCCCAAGAGAAGCCGCATTCTTGTTTTTGTGTCTTCAGAGACCTTTGATCCAAATGTAATAGATGACTTGTTTAGATTAATGGCCTGTCCAGATACTCTTTCATATAGGTCTAGTATCTTCTTTAGTTTCCTTCCTGATTTTGAATTAGCCAGCGAGAAGAACAATGAATCATCAGCAAACAATAAATGGTTTACTGCTGGTGCTTGAGTAGCTACTTTAACCCCAAGTAGAGATCTATCTGCCATAGCCTTCTGCATTAAATGTGATAACTCTTCTGCACAGAGGATAAACAAATATGGAGACAAAGGATCTCCCTGTCTAATTCCCCTTTCTGGATTTATGAAGCCTTCAGGTGAGCCATTTATCAGCACTGAGAAAGTCACAGTACTCACACAAGTCATGATCCATTTGATCCATTTCTGATGAAAACCCATCTCTTGCATTGTTCTCTCTAAAAATCGCCACTCCAACCGGTCATACGCCTTTGTGATGTCTGTTTTAACAGCCATATATGATTTTGCTTGTCTTTTCCTTGCCTTGAGACTATGCATGATTTCATGAGCAACAATAATGTTGTCAGATATAAGCCTCCCTGGGATGAAAGCGTTTTGATTTTCAGAGATGAAATGATGCAAATGCACCTTCAGTCTCATGACAAGAATTTTAGAAATGATCTTATAGACTACATTACATAGTGCTATAGGTCTCATTTCAGACATTCCAGCCGGAGGATAAATTTTTGGAATAAGGCAAAGATTTGTATGGTTGAGTCTGTCATCTAAAACTCCTTCCTCAAAGAACTTAGTGACCTCTGTAAAAATCTCTGCCTTAATCTCGTTCCAGTGTTGATGATAAAAAATTGCTGTAAACCCATCAGGACCAGGAGCACGATGAGGACCAATGTCAAATATTGCTTCCTCCATTTCTTCAAGAGTTACTGGTCTGATCAGTTCTGCATTGATTTCATCTGTTACTCTTCGTTGAAACCCTCTGAATACCTCTTCAAAATAGATAGCAGTTTCATTGTTTGATGTGTATAGCTTCTGAAAATACATCTCTGCAACCTTAGCTATATTCTTATGACCTCTTTGTACTACTCCATTTTCATCTTGTATAGATCCAAGATTATTTCTGTTTCTCCTGGCCTTTGTAACAGCATGAAAGTATCTGGTATTTCTATCACCTGATCTCAGCCATCTAATTCTGCTTTTTTGTTGCCAAAATATTTCCTCTTCGACATAAGCTTGGTTCAGTTCTTCTTGAATTCTTGATTTTTCCTGCGTTGTTGAAGTTGCTGTGCACACTGCATCATCTAACCGCTTTCTCAATATACTGATACGTTCCTCAGAATTATTTCTATTTTGTCTTTTCCATATTGATATTTGCTGTCTGCATCGAGCAAGTCTAGTAGCAAGAGGAATCTGTACTAACTGAGCCTGTCCAGACCCTTTCCATCCACGGTTAATTGATTCTTTATATCCATCCTTCCCATTTAGTCTTCCATTATAATGAAACATCTTTCTTGGAATTTCTATATCATATGAGATATAAGTGACTACAGGTCGATGATCAGATTCTCCTATATCAAGAAATTCTGTTTCTGATGCTGGAAATTCATTCATCCATCTACTATTGACCATTGTCCTGTCTAGGCAGCATTGAACATGATGATCACCTCTCTGTCCTACCCAAGAGAACTTGTTACCAATAGATTTGATATCCATAAGATCATTATTGCGTACAAAATCTCTGAATGCTTGAAAAGAGTTTGCAGGTCTGATTCTTCCTCCAATCTTCTCATGATTCCCCAGAATCTCATTGAAATCTCCAAGTAGCATCCAAGGTTCATTTCTCCTTGTCATTCCTATTCTTTCAAGTTTTTCCCAAGTATAGTTTCTCAAACTAGGATTTGGGTTTCCGTAGACAAATGACAAGTAGAAAGAACCTTCATTACTTAGAATCTTACAATCGATGAGATGACTAGATAAACTTAAAACAGAGAGCTGTACATCATTCTTCCAGAATAAAACCAAACCTCCACTAAGGCCTATAGGAGGCACCGTTACATAATTAAGATAACCCAGTTGAGCACCAACATCTCTAATATAATTGTCTTGTTGCTTTGTCTCAGATAAGCCAATGATGTCCGGGAGATACTTCTTGTTTATCTCCTTGAGGCGTCGAACTGTAGAGTCATTGCCAATACCTCTACAGTTCCAGCAGGCTGTCCTCATGGTGGCAATGGTGGTTCAGGGCCCACCGTGCCTCCCAATTTGTTTCCAACCTCTGTCTCACTTCCGTGTTGATCACACTTCCCAGTATGTAGTTCCTGTTGCTGCTCTTTGTGTGCCTCAGAGATGTTAACTCCACTTGATTCTCCTCTCTCACCTCGACGTGACTTCCTTTTATTATCATCAGCCGTTTCCATCCAAGCCTTCCTTTTGAGTGGCTCTCGTGCAGGGTGATTTTCTCCAAATGTGTTTTGAGGGTTGAACATCTCCACCATATCAATATCATCAGAAAACATGGTGCGTTTTGCAGGAGCATACCATAATTCCTCATCACCACCATCCACTTCAGTCTCACTTAGTAAACTGTTGTCTTCATCTTCAGTTGGACCACTCTGTTCCGTAGCTCCACCACCAGACACCTCTTCTGTTACTTGAGGAACCTCTTCTTGAACATCATTATTTTCATTGATTTCTTCAATAATAACTCCTTGGTTTGGGTTCTGATATTCCCCCATTGCGTGTTCCTCATCAGAAAAGTCATCTCCACCATCGTCTGGTCCTTCTTCAGGGCCCCCATTCACAATCAAACACCGTCCAGTATCGTGTGTTATCATGCCACAGGTTTCGCAGAAACCTCTTAGCCTTTCATACAGAAAACGTAGCATAGTGTTAACACCAGCAGCAAACTGAAAATTGCGTCTGAAACGTAGTGGTTGATTGATATCCCAATTAAGTCTGACTCTGATGAACTCCAATCGTGCACCAGCTTCTTCATTGTAATCCATTTGGATATATTGCCCCATCACACGAGCAATATGAAGAATGACTTCACGGTTTAGGAACTGAAAGGGTATGCCCCTTATTTGGACCCATAGAGGAATGAAGTTCAACATAGCCATATCCATTAATGGCGTCCACCTTTGTAAAACCAACATTCGATCTGCATAAGCCCATGGACCACGACGGATTACACTGTCCATGGCTTCTTCAGTAGGAAAAATAAATTGAAAACGCCTGGCTTCAATAGCACGTCCACGAATTAGACCTTCAAGCCCCCAAAATCTTGGCATTGTTGCAATGATGCCTCTGATGTTCTGACGGCGTGGCATCACAGGTCTCCCAATTAGTATAAAACGGTTTTCCTCTGCGGCTTGACGAACTACTTCCAACGGTAAAGCCACTGGAGGATCTTCACTTCCAAGAGCGATATCTTGCATTGCACGGCGAATGTTGTCTGCCATTTTTGTGAGAATAAAATAGAATCGTAGGGGATACTTTAGAATTGTAGACACAAAAGGGATAAAGCAAAGTGATAGAACAAGATCCCAGAAGTGTTTTTTATAGAGAAATCCCAAATTTTCTCCGAAAGTTAAGCCATCATGGGGTAGTAGAAACTTCCACATGGGAAAATAGGGTGTCGTGGATGTAGAAAACCAAGTAAACCACGATCCTCCATCAGTAGAATCATCAACCACTATAATCGTGGTGAGAAAGTAGATCAGAATCTGCAACTGTTTCAAAATCGCCTTGAAATCTCTTGTAACCGTCTTCATCACAGTATTAATTATCTAAATTACTTTCTTCTTTCTAGATTTTCACAATTAAAATAACCAAAATAACACTTAAATGTTTTATTAAATATATATTTTTACATCTTGGGTTAACTAATTTAGATTTTTTTGTTTAAAGTTGAGGAGTGAAGTTTTGGGTCTAGGGTTTCAAATTTTTAAAAATAAAAAAAAAACTTAAAAATTTCAAAATAAAAAATGCTATTTTGTTCATTTTAATTTTCGAGGTCTATTTTTGTGATAAAAACTTAAAATATGGCTATTTAAGAGAATTACCCTTTATAAATTGCTTTTTTGTCAACTAAAATATATATTTTAGCTGACTAAATTGTTAAAGAACTAAAATTTTATATTTATTCTGGCTTCCAACTTATAAATATAAAAGATTATAAAAACTAATAGTCTTCTAGATCTAGGTTCTACTATTTCTTTTTCTTTGTTTTCTATTTTGTGTCATTTAATTCAGTTTATTTTGAGTTTTGAACAATATTTTAAAATTCCAGTAGGATTCATAAGGGAAAATGGGCATTTAATTCCCCAAGTATTTGAAATCGACAGTTTTAATACTCAAGTATTGCTCGCGCAGAATTATTCCCCAACTAATAGTTGACTGAACGAAATTAAGAACGAAATAGTCAACCGTTGACTGGTTAACGGAAAGATAACGGTTTCCGTCAACCTTTTAACGATTGACTATTTCATTCATAATTTCACACAGTCAACTATTAGTTGGAGAATAATTCTGCGCAAGAAAAACTTGAGTATTTAATCTGGCGATTGAAAATACTTGAGGAATTTAAAACATCAATATTTTATTTTATTTTAAATATATAATTTAAAAGATTTTCAAGTCAGATACAATCAATATACGAGATTTTTACTTTTTGAAAGAGCTTTTTGAGCTTTTACAATAACATGTACAATAATAAAAATAGTTATAGTTACCGTTTATTGTTGATGTACTTCATGTTTATAAAATCACATATGGATGATTTCATATCATTTACGGAATCATATGTTGTAAATTAGATCACTACTTAAGACTAGGGATGGCAAAAAATATCGAACCGAATAAAACTAAACCAACTGAACCGAAACCGCTCCAAACCAAACTGAACCGAGTTAAACCGAACCGAGAAAACAATGTGCTTTTGTTATTATTTGAAAACTAAAGTCTCTATTAACTTTATACAATATACTTAAATCCTAACATTAACGATTAATTTTATTAACGCTTTAAAAAAAATCTATTTACTTTAGTTAACTTTGGTTTGATTGTGTTTTTATCAAAAATGATGATTTTTTCAGATATTTTTCAGATATTTTTCAGTTTTATATTATAAATTATCTTATATAAAACATGATTTTTATTAAAAGAACTAAACTAAAGGAAGACAATTAAACCAAACTGAACTGATCCAAACCAAACAAATCGTGGTTTACTTCAGATGGAAGATTTTGAGAACCGGAAAATAACTGAAGTTTCCACCCTTACTTTAAACAGTCATATGTAGTTACATATTCTTTAGACTATCATATATTGTACACCATCAATGCAATGCAATGCGTTATCTTATTTTATTTTCTTTTGTAAAACTCCAAAATTCATTTTCAGAGAAAAGTATCTTATATATTTGTTCCATTGTATATTTGTTCAAACTGAGAATCTTTATAATTTGAAATTATTTTAAAATTCATCTTAAGTTATTTTATAAACATGAAATATATTAATAATAAACTCCAACTATAATTATTTTTATTATTGTACATGTCATTGTAAAAGCTCAAAAATCTTTTTAAAAGTAAAAATCTCGTATATTGATTGTATCTGACTTGAATTTTTCTAAATTATATATATTTTTAAAAAAATGTTGATGTTTTAAATTCCTCAAGTAATTGAAATCGGCAGTTTTAATACTTAAGTATTGCTCGAGCAGAATTATTCTTCAACTAATAGTTGACTGCGCAAAATTAAGAACGAAATTGTCAGCCGTTAAAAAATTGACGGAAACCGTTATCTTTCCGTTAACTAGTTAACGGTTGACTATTTTGTTCCTAATTTTGCGCAGTCAACTATTAGTTGGGGAATAATTCTGCGCGAGCAATACTTGAGTATTAAAACTGCCGATTTCAATTACTTGGGGAATTAAATGTGCATTTTCCCATTGATGGTCGAACAATATTCAGGAGATTCTCATAATATCCTTATCTATCTCTCTCCCTAAGTATTCTCTCCACTCTAGTGTTTCAGTGCTGGACATCATACATTCTGGAACAGATCTCTCGAGGAGTTCCAGTGATCCAAAGGACGCATTCACCAGTTGACCAGAGTGAAAGAGAAAACATTTTAGTTAGTCGGATCAGTGAGAACCAAAACTAAAAGAACATGTAATTAGACAAAGGTAGGGGAATCTGCATTACAATGAAAAGTATGGGAACTCGTAGTTTATGGGAACATTCAATTCAAGCATGTGTGCAAGTAACTTAAACCACCCACTTGTAGATGTGCATAGATCCAAGTGTACAAGCTGACATAACATACTAGGGATGAAGTCAAAAGGGTTTCAAATGTGTACAGACTATGATCCAAAGTTAACCGTTCATCATGGTCAGACGACAAAAAAACATATATCTATAAGAAAAATGCTCATAAGAATTCTGAAAACAGAGTTTGCGCTCCTTCAATGTTTGTTGAAACTTTTAAACCCAAGTAATAATAATGCCCCGAGAATAAAAACGACTAGAACTCTATGTCTCTGAGGCGTATTGTCTTTAGCTGTCCTCCAGAGTTCTCTGACAAATACTTAATCTCTTTGTTCTCTGATTCTGTTCCTTTGTAATCAATCCACTCGACAGTTTCGAGGCTCGTAACCAAACATTCAGGAACAGAACTCGGTCGCTCCCACTGAGTCTGGACATCTCCGGAGCTGCAGTAACATTTCTTACGATCATTTAGGTATGGAGTTGGAACCAAATTTGTTTGACCTTGGAATCTGAGAACTCGGAGTTTAGGGGCACGTCTGAGTATAAGGCGATACCACTCTAAAGAGCATGCACAGACTTTAAGAGACACGAGCTGACTGAAGTCGCCTATTGGATACGAATCCTGCACGTATGTGGCATCATTATGTAAGTGAGTACTGCTGTAATATTGATATAAAAATCACAAACAAAGAAAATAAATTATTACCATTGGTTGTTTTACACATAAGGATAGGTGTCTGGCTGAGGTAACACATCCGAGAAACTTCTTGGAATCGCCATGTGGAAGCTTTATGTTTGCCGTCACTAGGTAAGGCATTTTCACTAGTGAATAGAACCAACCAAAAAGGTTATTAATCGTTAACGACTTTAAACAAGGAGCTTTGATCACATAACCCACATCAACTCCTGGAGCTGGTTCCCCAAAATCATCGACTGTTAAATTGTGCAATGAAGGAACCATGATTTTGAATGCTCTCACGTTGGTATGGCTGCTGCATCGAATTAATTTTAGGTCTTGAAGAACAGGGCAACCCGATAGAAGCCGGTGAAAGATATCATCATCGCTAAAGAAGTCCACAAATTCAAGAGACAAACTCTTGAGTGACATGAAGCAAATATTCAAAGGAACATCAGCTATGAAGGCATGTAGTAAGCTTAAAGTCACTAGGGTTTCACATGTATACAAGCTCCTAGGCAACCGTAAGGGCTCGTGTGAGATTCTAGAATATTGGTAAAACAGAAGATCGCGCACACCGCGAGAAACTGCAACACCAACCCATGTTTCAATATCTGTAGGAAGACAGAAACAACCAACGAATAGATGCATAGTTTCTAGAGCATGAGTGTTGTCGCGTAGTAGCAAAAATTTGTCGATAAAACGTGAAGCTCTCCAGTACTCACTGTTAACTTTTGGATCGGAATACTCAAGATTTGGGGCGTGTTTCCAAAGTGAACACCAACGTTTTGACAATAGGCTTGTGGTTACTGTAACTTTCGATGGAACAAAAGAGAGTATCTTAAAGATCAAGTCATCTGGCAACATACTCATCCTATCCATTGCTAACCCTCACCCCTTCAATAGGTTTTCCTTAATTTTGTTGCCGATGATGAAAAAAGGTTAATGGTGCTTGCTTTTCTCTAGGTCGAAAACCCTAGTAATGATGAGAACGTGGAACAGTCAAACGAAGCTTAACTTATGTTTTTGAAGTTTTCCCATTATTGTTTAGAGGAGATAATAACTGAAAATAAAATTAAGCTGTAACCATCACCGTATACCACGGCGTTTTAACTTCTTTTTTTATACTGATTTTTAGCATGGCGTCTATAACTTCGTACAAACTTTAGATGTGAACAAAGTTGAACCAAAAAATACCCAAAGAAAAAAACATAAATTTTAAAATTGTCATTATAAATACCCAAAGAAAAAACATGGAAATCGCCAGCAGTGTGACCCCGGACCATCGTCTCCAATCTTACATTGCTTAGCGGGGTCCATCTTGGCTCCCTTACCTTTTTTTTTGGCTCCATCACTTGTTGATCAGTAAAGAAGCTGGTGTTGACCGTTTGCTCTTTTAAATTTTTTATACCACCTACTGGTGGGTTGTTTGTAGAACACCCGAGAAACAATTTGTCGTTGTCCTTTTGAATTTGAACATATAATTAGACAAAAGTAGGGGAATCTGTATTACATTGAAAAGTATGAGAACTCGTAGTTTATGGAAACATTCAATTCAAGCATGTGTGCAAGTGCAAGTAACTTAAACCACCCACTTGTAGATGTGCATAGATCCAAGTGTACAAGCTGACATAACATACTAGGGATAATTAAAGTCACAAGGGTTTCAAATGTGTACAGACTATGATCAAAAGTTAACCGTTCATCATGGTAAGACGACAAAATAACATATCTGAAGAATAAATTCTATGACTATGTCGTGGATCGAGTCTTTGTTTGTTTCCTGAGTTTTAGGAGTCAATAAGTAGTTTACATAAGTTGATCAAGTCAAGTTGTTAGAGAGACTTGAGGAGTAAGTTTCAGAGTCATTTGTTTCTTGTACTAATCTATTTAAGGATCTTCTTTCTATTGAAATAAACAAGCATTTCTTTCAGCTCTGGTGTTCTAAACAGTTTCAGAAACAACAAGTGGTATCAGAGCCTCTTACGAGCCTGATACAAGTGAGTAACAATGAGTGAAAGAGATTCACTACTGAGCATTCCAAAGTTTGATGGAGATTACGAGTACTGGGCTATGTTGATGGAGAATTTGCTCAGGTCTAAAGAATGGTGGGATCTCATTGAGACAGGGATCACGAGACCAGAAAGAAGTGTGATTCTCACGGATGCTCAAAGGACAGAACTGGCGGAGCTAACTCTCAAGGACCTCAAGGCAAAGAACTACCTGTATGCATCGATTGATAAAACAATTCTCAAGACCCTGTTGAAGAAGGAGACGGCTAAGGAACTCTGGAATTCTATGAAGAGAAAGTATCAAGGAAATGAGAAGGTTCAAAGTGCTCAACTTCAAAGACTGCGTCGTGATTTTGAAGTCCTTGAAATGAAGGAAGGTGAGGCTATTGCAGAATACTTTTCAAGGGTTATGCTGGTGGTAAATGATATGCGTAACCTAGGAGAACAACTAGACGATTCCAAGGTGGTGGAGAAGGTCTTAAGGACGTTGGTGGAGAAATTCACCTACATAGTATGTGCTATAGAAGAGTCCAACGACATAAAGGATCTCACAGTAGATGGGTTGCAGAGCTCCTTGATGGTACATGAACAAAAACTGGTTAGGCATGTCAGTGAAGAACAAACTCTGAAAATTGAAGGAAATAGGAAGTTAGAAGGTGGAAGAGGACGTGGTGGCTCTTACTCCCGAGGTCGAGGTGGGTATCAAGGCAGAGGAAGAGGAAGTTCCAGTTTCAACAAAGAGTTTGTTGAATGTTACAAATGCCACAAAAGGGGTCACTACAAGTCAGAGTGTCCAGATTGGGAGAAGAATGTTAACTATGCTGAACTTGAAGAAGATGTTCTTCTCATGGCACATGTGGAAACCGGACTTCAAGAAGATGAGGAACATGTCTGGTTTCTTGACTCAGGATGCAGCAACCACATGTGTGGTACCAGACAGTGGTTTGGAGACTTTGATGACAACTTTCGCACCAATGTCAAACTGGGAGATGATGGAAGAATGAGTGTAGAAGGAAGAGGAAACCTCAGTGTGAAGATCAATGGTATTAATCAAACCATTACCTCTGTGTATTATGTGCCAGGACTCAAGAACAATCTACTAAGCGTAGGACAGCTTCAGCAAAGGGGTTTAAAGATAGTCACTGAAGATGATAGGTGTGAAATCTGGCACAAACAACAGAAGAGACTTCTGATGCAATCCTCTATGAGTAAAAACAGAATGTTTGTGATACGAGCACTAATGAAGGGGAGTAAAGAAGAAGGAGAAGAGAAGTATCTTCAAGTAGCTGAAGTAAAAATGGAGGACGTGTGGCACAAGAGACTTGGACACCTTAGTCACACAGGGATGCGTGAGATGGCTGAAAAGGAACTAGTGAGGGGGTTACCGCGGTTCACATCAAAGGAAGAAGAACGAGTTTGTGAGATATGCATGAAGGGGAAACAAAACCGTGAGAACATTCCCAAGAAGAGTACATGGAAGTCAAGCAGAGGACTTCAGCTGGTTCACACGAATATCTGCGGACCTATAAATCCAACCTCTACAAGTGGAAAGAGGTATATGATAAACTTCATCGATGACTACAGCAGGAAGTGTTGGACTTACTTCATTGAAGAAAAATCAGAAGCGTTACAGATCTTCAAAGAGTTCAAAGCAGTAACTGAAAGGGAGCTAGGACAACCTCTTGTTTGTCTCAGGTCATATCGTGGAGGAGAATACAATTCCAAAGCCTTTGAAGATTACTGTAAAGAAGAAGGGATTAAGAGATAACTAACGACTGCCTACACACCACAGCAAAATGGCATTGCAGAGAGAAAAAACAGGACAGTCATGAACATGACTAGGTGTATGTTGATGGGAATGTCTGTTCCTAGAATTTTCTGGGCAGAAGCAGCACAGTACGCGGTCCATATCCTCAATAGAAGTCCATCAAAGGCGCTTGAAGACACTACACCAGAGGAAAAATGGAGTGGTCATAAGCCATCAATCTTGCACCTAAGGACGTTTGGATGTGTTGCTTACGCAATGATCCCATACGAAAAAAGAATCAAGTTGGATGAGAAGAGCATAAAGTGTGTCTTGGTGGGAGTGAGCAAAGAATCCAAGGGGTATCGGTTGTATAATCCAGAGACAAAGAAGGTAATCATCAGCAAAGATGTTAAGTTTGATGAAGCTTATGGATGGGAGTGGGAAGAAAATCAACAGAAGAATGGTTATGTCTGGGAGAACCTTATAGATGATGATGAAGAACCTCAAGTGGAAACTGCAGACAATCCAGAAACAGAGGAGCAACATGGGGTAAGGCAAGAAGAAAGAAGAGATCAAGAAGTTCAAGTGGGAAGCTCAAGTGGGGCTACTCAAAGAGAATCTGGTGGAAGACGTAAGCGAGCTCCTGTGTGGATGAAGGACTACGTCTCTGGACAAATGGGATTATTTGTTGAAGAAGATGAAGAGTGGAACATTGTCATGTTCACCAACATCGATGATCCAGAGTGTTACAGTGAAGCCGTGAAGGAAGAGAAATGGAGAAAGGCAATGGAACTGGAGATAGATTCTATCGAGGAGAATGACACATGGGAGTTGGTGACATTACCAGAAGGAGGAAAAGTTATTGATGTGAAGTGGATATTCAAAACCAAGTTCAATGAGAGAGGTGAAGTAGACAAGTTCAAAGCTCGATTGGTGGCCAAAGGATATGATCAGAGGTATGGTATTGATTTCTATGAAGTATTTGCTCCTGTTGCAAGGTGGGATACAGTTAGAACTATACTGGCCTTAGCAGCACAAAGAGGTTGGAAAGTGTTCCAACTAGATGTGAAGAGTGCTTTCTTACATGGTGAGTTGAGTGAAGATGTTTATGTAAAGCAACCAGATGGGTTTGAAGCACAAGACGAACCAGAGAAAGTCTATAAATTGAAGAAAGCTTTGTATGGTTTAAAGCAGGCTCCAAGGGCTTGGTACAACCGGATAGAAGGGTACTTTCAGAGAGAAGGATTTGAGAAGTGTTACTGTGAACACACTCTGTTCATAAAGAAAGAAAGGGAAGAGATTCTAATAGTAAGCCTGTATGTTGATGATCTTATCTACACAGGTAGCTCAGCCACTTTGATAGAAGGATTCAAGAACTCGATGATGAGGGAGTTTTCAATGACAGATCTCGGTTTAATGAGGTTCTTCTTGGGAGTTGAAGTAATTCAAGATCAGAGTGGAGTCTTTATCAACCAACAAAAGTATGCTTCAGAAGTATTGAAGAAGTTTGGAATGGAGGAGAGTAATTCAGTGAAGAACCCAATGGTACCAGGTCACAAACTGTCAAAAGAAGGAGCTGGAGATGCTGTTGACCCAACCATATTCAAACAACTGATTGGAAGCTTGAGGTACCTAATAGTTACTCGTCCTGATCTTACTTTCTCTGTGAATCTAGTTAGTAGATACATGGAAAGTCCCAACGAGTTACACATGATGGCTGCAAAGAGGATATTGAGATATATTCAAGGGACAATGGAGTATGGAATTCAGTACAAGAGAGGAGGAGAAGTGAAGCTAATTGGGTATACAGACAGTGATTATGCAGGTGATGTCGATGATAGGCGCAGTACGTCTGGTTACGTGTTTATGTTAGGAGGTGAAGCTGTAGCATG